AGAGAGAGAGAGAGAGAGAGAGAGAGAGAGAGAGAGAGAGAGAGAGAGAGAGAGAGAGAGAGAGAGAGAGAGAGAGAGAGAGAACAGAACAGACAGAAGGGACGTAACAAAACATTGCATAAAAGAACAATTGAGAAGAAAAGAAAGAGAACAGAGCAATAAAACAAAACGAAAAAGAGAAAAAGAATAATAATAAAGTGCAAAACGGAATAGTAGAGAACATTAACCCGTACAGAACAGAACAAAACGGAACATAACGTAACAAAAAGCACAAGAATAACAGAACAGGAAGAAAAAAATAACAGTACAAGGTAGAACAAAATCAGATATTGTAATCGTTGTTTTAGACAAATATATATTATTATCCTTTTAATTCATTATACAGTCGGTTATAAACCAATCGATAGTTCCCTTCTCTAGCACCTTATATCCATAACATAAGCGCTGATGTTAAAAAAAAGGAAAAGAGAAAAAAGTCAGGCCTATTTGCTGAAAATGTATATATATAGGCCCTATATATATATATATTTTGAGACCATGTTTGATTAATGAAACTATCCCTTCCCTCTACCTCCCCCTCCCCCCACTAAATATATATGAAGAGAAGAGAAGCAAAGAGGAATAGAAGAGAACAGTTTGTAGTTTAATCATAACGAAACGGAACATTGCAGAGCTTCAGAAACAACACAACGGAGGAAAAGAACAAAAGAAAATATAAGAAATAACATTTATCTTTATCGTTATTACATAATGATATTGATAATTATTATATTCTATCAATTATACTTTCAGTTATTTTTATTAACCATATGTCTAATGTCTGAATGGTTGAGTTCAATATATAGCATAATGATAATAACTAATCTAATATCTACAATAATAATATCTAATACCTGTAACAGTGCAAAAAAGAAAACTAAAATTATAAAAAATTGTTAAGCCTCAGTACTGAAAGTGGATATACATATTTTTTACAGGTTTGATTATTAAAACTATCCCCTCCCCCGAACCCCCCCCCCCCTCCTCTCCCAAAAAACGAAAAAATATATATGTACATTTTTATTTGAGTAATAATTGACGTCAGAATGGGTTAGAATTTGATGGATATTGTGTTGTACTTTTATTTCTATTCTATGATGCAAATGTTGGTTGAATAAAGCTAATTCCTGGGAACATTGAACCCTCGTTTTTCGCGGGGGTTACGTTCCAGAAAGAACCCGTGATAGGCGAAATCCGAGAAGTAGTAACCTTTTTTTTTTACAATTATTATACAATGAAATACTCTACAATACATTGAAACCAAAGAACAAAACCTTTTTACAGGCTCAAGCATTTGTTTAACAAATAAAAGTACTGTATAAAACTGTACTGTAAAATAATAATTTTAATCATCAATACGAACTGAAGGCTTCATGGGTTTTAGAGAAAATTTGCAAACTTAAATTTGGCAAGCTGTTTTACGTACATGTACATATTAAACCGTAACGTTATTGACACACAGGTAGAGAAGAAGCGGAGAGACTGTTTAGCCAATCAGAATGCAGAACACAATGCACAATGCAAATCCGTGAAGCAGCGAGAACGTGAAAGGTGAACCGCGTTATAGCGCGGGTTCACTGTATTATGTGGTTAGAGGTTTAATCTTTGAATTTTTTGATTCTGTTAATATTGTAGTGTGTTTATCTATATTCAGTAACACACACGCATACGCAGACTAAGACGCACACACACACACACACGCACACACCACACACACACACACACACCACACACACACACACACACACACAACACACACACACACACACACACACACACACACACACACACACATCACACACACACCCTCACACCCTCACCCCCCCCTCACACCCCTCACCCTCACCCCTCACCACCCCACCACCAAGTACATCACCCTTTACATCCCTCTCACACACCCTTACCTCCGCCCATCTCCCGCCCACAGCCCTCTCGCCCCTGAAGCCGCCCACTCTCCTTCGCCTTGGGTCACACGACTGGGAGTTCACGGATGATGAACTTGTGAACAGCACTTTCCACCGTCTCAAAGTGGATAGTGACGATGATGACGACGACATCACCTTCTCCTTGGACAGTCCGGATGGCATCCACAACTTCTTCAGAGTGGATGAGGATGGGCGTGTCTTCATCGCGAAGCCGTTAACAGAGGCGGTGAGTATTAAAAAAAAAAAAAAAAAAAAAAAAAAAAAAAAAAATAAATAAATAAATAATAATAAATGAAAAAATAAATAGATAAATAAATAAATAAATAAAGTGGAAATAGATAATAATAAATAAATAGGCTGTTTCTTTGTTATGTTTGTGTCTTGAATAAATAAAGTGGAAATAGATAAATAATAAAAATAGGCTGTTTTCTTTTATTTTTGTTTTGTTTGAGGATGTCTTTGCTTTTTGGCATTTGTTTTTTGTTTGTTGCTGTTTGACTCTATCTTTCTCCCTGTTTCCTTCTCTCTCTCGCTCTCTTTCTTTTTTTTTCCTCTTCCCTCTTTTTCTCTCTCTTCTTTCTTCCTTTCTCATTCTCTCCCTTTCTTACTTCTCTCTCTCTCTCTCCCTCCCCCCCCCCCTCTCTCTCTCTCCTCTTTCTGACCCTCCCCCTCTCTCTCTCTCTCTCTCTCTCTCTCTCTCTCTCTCTCTCTCTCTCTCTCTCTCTCTCTCTCTCTCTCCCTTTCTCCCCCCTTCCTTTCTCCTTCTTTTTCCTTTTCCTCTTTTCTCCTTTCCTCCTTTTTTTCCCCATTCCTTTCTTTCTCTCCCCTTCCTCCCTCTCTCTCTCTGCCCTCCTCCTTCTCTCTCTCACTCTCTCATTTCCTCCCTCTCTCTCTCTCTCTCTCTTCTCTCCTTCTCTTTCTCAAGTAAGTTTATATTATATGAAGATAAGGAGATGTATAAAAGACAGAAAGGACAGACAAACAGACAGAGACACAACAAAAACGGGGCCTAAACCTCGCCAGACAGGACAGATGGACACGCCAACCTCCCTCCAGACAAACCTGCAGACAGACAGACAGAACAACCCTCCCGACACACACACTCACACCCCGCCCACTCACCCGCCCGTTCCTCTCCTCCCTCCAGGTAGGCGACCACATCCTCCTGGTCCGAGTCCACAACGGCCAAAGCACTTCCACGACACACATTCGCATCAGAGTCAGGAAGAAGGGAGAGCCCACCAAGAAGGCGCCCGTGGTCAACAGGCCGCCCACGTTCCCCAGCGGGCCCCCGCCCTTTGGCCAACCGGGGGGGAATTTTGCGGGCGCGGGGACTCCGTTTAACTTCCCGCGAATATCGGTGGAGGGCCCCCGCCGCCCACTGCGTTCGGGCCGTCGGAGGACCGTGAGTTGTGCTCTTGTTGTTGTTGTTGTTGTTGTTATTATTTTATTATTATTATATTATTATTATATTATTAATTTATTATTATTATTATTATTATTATTATTATTATTATTATTATTATTATTATTATTATTATTATATTATCATTATTTATTATTATTATATTAGTAGTAGTAGTAATGATCATAATAATAGCAATAATATATAATAATAATAATAATGATAATAATAATGATAATGATAATAATGATGATGATTTTTATTATCATTCCTATCATTATTGTCATTATCATTATCACCACTACCACCACAACTGATTAATATCCGAAATATATATAGACAAAAAAAAAGAAAAGAAAAGCAATTCCAAAAATAATCCACATTTTCCACAGAAATATATTAGGAAATATATATAGGAAAAAAAAAAATAAAAAAAAAAAGAAAGCAATTCCAAAAATAATCCCCCCTCCCCCCCCTTCAGCTCCTCCCTTCATCACCGTGGACCCCAACTGGTTCGTGAAATCGGACGCGGGTATAGGAACCGTGGTGGGGAATATCCGCGTGGTGGACCTCTCCTACAACGGCTTCAACGTCACCCTCCAAGGATATGCGAAGGACCTGCTCCATGTGGACTCCCAGGGCGGAGATGTGACCGTGGCGCGACCCCTTTTATGTTGATGGTAATGTTGTCCTTATAGGGTATGGTTGGTCCCTTACTTGTAGGGTATGTTGGTCCCCTTACTTATAGGGTATGTTGGTCCCTTACTTATAGGGTATGTTGGTCCCTTACTTATATGGGCTAAGAAAATAAAATATAATTGTTTTACGATAATGAAACTTTTAAAACTGAGTTACAAATTATCATTTTCCCCCAATAACATTTTTTCTACACAAATTTAGTTACGAATGAAGCATTATCCTTCCGTGGAAATCCTTAAAAAAAAAAAAAAACCAAAACCAAAAAATACAACTCCACCCAGGTCGGCCGGCACCCTCTCCTCGTCGTCGCCTCGAGCGGGGGCCAGAAAGCCACGGAGCCAGTGACACTCAACATCGAGAAGGGCGCGACGCCGGCACCCACCCCCTCCCCCACCCCCCCCACCCCAGACATCCTCCAACACCCCGAAGGACACAACCAAGAGCTACCAGGACTTGAGAGTCATCGGGACCAGCGCCGGCGGCTCGGCACCTTCTTCGCCCTCGTCTTCCTCGTCCTCCTCCTCCGGTTCCTCGACGACGGCGTCCCCGAAGGAGGCGTCCAGCGAAGGAAGTCTGAGTCTGACGGTGATTCCTATCGTGCTGGTGGTCGGGGTGTCGCCGCTCCTGCTGGCTGCCTTTTGGTACTGGAGGAGGCTCAAGAAGAGGAAGGCCAGAGCGGAGTCCAAGGTGAGGAGCTGTCCAGGAGTTGCGGTCTATAAATAATCGCAAAATTATTATTTTCTTTTTAAATTTGTCTATTTATATTTTGTCTTGATATAAACATTAAATTCTCTCATACAGTTTCCTGTAATATCACACAATAAAAAAGCAGTTTCCAAAATACAAACTAAAACGAAAAAAATCATTAATACAAATAAAAGTTTATACATACATGTTTATTTATATATATATAAACCCATAAGTAAAAATCAACCCTCACATCCAGGAAAGCGCGGTGGTGTACACAGAGAAAGGCATCGAAGCAGGAGCCACAGAGAACGCAGAAGAGACGAACGAAGAGAGAGAAAGAGCAGGAAGCAGGTTTAGTATCGGAGTTGCTGCTCTCTGGCGACGAAGGGCAGAGAGTAACAAATACGAAGATGGAGTGAAAGGAGAACAAAAAGGGGTACGTTGTTTTTACTCTTTGTTCTTGTTTTTTTCTCTTTTGTTTTTGTCTCTTGTTAGTATTCTTATTTTGAAAGCGTGTTTATATAAATATTATCACATTTTATTTTGTCTTTTGTTAGTGTTCTCATTTTTATGTCGTGTTTATGGATATGAATATCATATTTTGATTTTGCTTAATGTCTGGAATATCTTTGTAAGACTATACCCGTGTAGAATCACCTTAAGAAACACGAACGCCAATCCATCTCAAAACAAATACATTCAGAATATCTCTCTCACATTCATACAAATTCAAGTCTCACGCAACCTGTCTCATTTACCTCCTTTTACAACCATTTGCAGAAGAGAAAAGTGAGTCAAATATCCTCAGCCAACTCGGACATCTGGGAATTTCCTCGACACCGACTAAAAGTTATGGGTATCCTTGGGGAAGGATGCTTTGGCCAGGTAATAACGAGGACATTGTTATGGATTTCCTGTTGATAGTGTAATTACCATTGAAAGAATGAATAACTGTAGAGGCCATAATTGCCTGTCAGTAGCGTAATTACATTGTTTGATAATCCGTTCAACAAAGGAAAATCATTATCACGGCAGAATACAATGTAAACTACAGTTACCGAACCGAATGTCGGTTTTGTCTTTACACAATAATTTGAAACAATAAAACAACAAAGAAGATAAATAACCCAATAAAAAAAAAAAAAAAAAAAAAAACAATCCCTTTCACCGCATTTGACTGAAATCCCTCTCATAATATTGAAAATAATAAAGCAGTAAAGAAGATAAGGAAACGAAAATAAAACAAACGAGATAATTTGAAATAATAAAGCAGGAAAGAAGATAAGAAAGCAAAACAAACAGAAAACCAAAAGAAAAGAAAAGAAACGAGAATCAAATCCCTTTTACCGCATTTGACTCCAATCCCTCTCTCCTGAAGGTGTGGAAATGCGAAGCGGTCGACCTGCAGGAGAAGGGCACAATGCTCGTGGCGGTGAAGACCCTGAAGGAGTCGGCAGGAGACAGGGAGCGCCAGGACCTCGTGCAGGAACTGAAGGTGTTGAAGAGCCTAGGAAGTCACCTGAACGTCGTGTCTCTCCTTGGCTGCTGCACCGAGAAAGGTTAGGAGAAAGGGGATTCGGGGGTTGGGTGGGAGGACCGAAGGGGTGGGAGGGGTGGGGAGTGGGGACGGAGGAGAGAGAGAGAGAGAGAGAGAGGAGAGAGAGAGAGAGAGAGAGAGAGAGAGAGAGAGAGAGAGAGAGAGAGAGAGAATGAGAGAAGAGAGAGAGAGAGAGAGAGAGAGAGAGAGAGAGAGAGAGAGAGAGAGAGAGAGAGAGAGAGAGAGAGAGAGAGAGAGAGAGAGAGAAAGAGAAAGAGAAAGAGAAAGAGAAAAAAAAGAAAAAAAAAAAAAAGAAGAAAAAGAAAAGAGAAAAAAAAACACACCAATAACGCCCTGACCTCCACTCACCCCCCCCCTCCCTTCTTCCAGACCCGATTTTCGTCATCCTCGAGTACATGGTCGGAGGCAAACTCCAGAGCTACCTCAGGGCTTCGCGAGCGGACACGCCCTACGACAACCTCCACGGCTCCTCCTCCTCCTTGACCCCGCGTGACCTCATCCACTTCGCCTACCAGATCAGCAGAGGCATGGAGTTCCTCGCCAGGAATGGGGTGAGTAAGCGGCAGGATGAGGAAAGAGGATGGAGGTTGTAGTTTGAGGAGGATGTCTCTCTTGTAATCATGATAAAAGTAATAATGATAATGTTAAAAACAACAACAATGATAAAGATGATAATAATGATAATAATCATAATGAAATAATAATGATAATCATAATGAAAATAATAATGATAATAATCATAATGAAAATAATAATGATAATAATCATAATGAAAATAATAATGATAATAGTAATAATGATAACATTGATGATCATGATAGTAATAATAATGATAAAAGGATAATAATAACAAATACTAGCAATGATAAAAGTAATAACAATAATAAAGACAATAACAATAGTAATAATAACAATGATAATAATGATAATGATAATAACAATCATAAAGACAATAAACAATAATGATAATAATATAATAATAATAATAATAATAATAATAATGATAATATAATAATAATAATATAATAATAATAATAAAATAATAATAATAATAATAATAATAATAATGATAATAATAATAATAATAATAATAATAATAATAATAATATAATATAATAACGATGATAATAATGAATAATCATAATAATGAAAACCTTTGTAATTTGCAGGTGATCCACAGAGACTTGGCTGCTCGCAACATCTTGGTGGGAGAAGACAAGATCTGCAAAGTGGCAGATTTTGGATTTGCGAGAGATGTTGCGAATAATCGGATTTACGAGAGGAAGAGTGACGGTCGCCTCCCCATCAGGTATTTTGTTTTTTGTTTGTTTTATTTATTTGTATTGAATTGATTGCTTCTTGTTCGTTATATTTTGATCTTGGTCTTTGTTCCTATTCTTTTTTTTTTTTTTTCTTTCTTCTCTTTCTCTTTTCCTTCTTCGTCTCCTTTTCCCCCTTCTTCCTTTCTTCCCTCCTCCTCTCCTTCTTCTTCTTCTTCTTTCTTCTTCTTCTCTTTCTTCTCTTCTTCTTCTTCTTTCTTCTTCTTTCTCTTCCTCTCCTCCTCCTCCTCCTCCTCCTCCTCCTCCTCCCTCCCTCCCTCCCTCTCCTCCCTCCCCTCCCTCCCTCCCTCCACCTCCTCCCCTCCCTTCCTCCCTCCTCCCTCCCACCTCCAACTCCTCCCCCAAACCCCCCTTTCCCTTCCCCCCCAGAATCTAAATTCAAACGCGCGACCCCAATCCCCCGTCAACTTCAAAATCAAGTTGTCAATTCAGATTCCTCGCTCAGTGCTCCCCGTGTTCTTCCAGATGGATGGCTCCTGAGTCTCTCTTCGACAACATATTCACTACGAAGTCTGACGTCTGGAGTTTCGGTGTCTTGCTGTGGGAGATCGTCACTCTTGGTGAGCGCGTGCAAGCATACACGCATACGTACGTGTATACATACATACGTGCATACATACGTGCATACATACATACATACATACATACATACATACATACATACATACACATACATACATACATACATACATACATACATACATACATACATACATACACACACATACATACACATACATACATACATTACATACATTATACATACATTATATACATATACATACGTATGTACGTACAATACGTACATATCTACGAATGTACAAATATATTTACCTACCTACCTAAATGCATACATACATACATGCATATGTACATACGTATTTAGATAGATATATCAATAAACTATGTGCATGTATAATAGATACACTTAACGGGAAATTTTAGTAGTGTCAGTATAACTGCTATTTTTGTGATTACTGCTGCAATTATCCTTTTTATTATCACTTTTACTTATTTTTATTTCTTTTATAATCTAGAATACCCCCCCCCCAAAAAAAAAATATATATATATATATATATATATAAATATCTATCACATAGCCAGATTAGTTTTACCTTTGATTAAGCTTATTCAATCAAGATATTTAGATAATTACAACTTCAATTACACTATTATTATATTACAGGTTCCACCCCCTACCCTGGCATGGGAGCTGCCGAGGTCATGAGGAAGGTCAAGGGAGGTTACCGCCTGGAGAAACCCGAGCATTGTCGCAGAGAGGTAGGCGTCTGCGGGATTATGTAAATGTATATGGAAATCAATACATACATATGTGTCTATCTATCTATTATCTATCTATCTATCTATCTATCTATCTATATCTATCTATATATATGTATGTGTGTGTGTGTATGTGTGTAAGTGAGTGTATGTGTGTGTGTGTGTGTGTGTGTGTGTGTGTGTGTGTGTGTGTGTGTGTGTGTGTGTGTGTGGTGTGTGTTGTGTGTGTGTGTGTGTGTGTGTGTGTGTGTGCGTGCGTGCGTGTATGTGTGTGTGTGTGTTGGTGTGTTGTGTGTGTTGTGTGTGTGCATTTGTCTTCATCAACTACCTGAAAAAAAAACTCTTCAAAAGCACCTAATTATCCTTTCAATCAAAACCTCCTCCATCCCGCAGATCTACAACATCATGTACTACTGCTGGGACAAGGACTCCAAGGAGCGCCCTTCCTTCACGGAGCTCGTGCACACTCTGGAGGGTCTTCTCCTGTCCGAGGTCGAGTACATAGAGCTCGACCGCTTCCCCGACCACTCGTACTACAACTTCGCTTCAGAGAACACGAGCGAACTGCTGTAAGGTCCGGTTGTTTAGGCGTGAAACAATGAGAAAAAAACAACGAAAATGTGTAAAAAAATATTAGAGGTGTTGTCGCTTTTGAGGATGTGGTTGTTATGTAAGAAAAAAATAAAGAGGTGTCGGTTATAAGAATGTGGTTGTTATAGAAGAAAAATAATCCAGAGAGCTGTTGTTTTCATAAGTATGTGGTTGTTATAAAAACGGAAAGCTGTTGTTATTATGAGAATATGGTTGTTGTTACGACGTGGTAGTTGTAGATATTCAGTTGATTTTAATGTGTATCTGTGGCTGCCTCCAACTTTGCAGCTAAGTGGATCATAACACAAGTTTTTTTTTGTGGTTCTGGACACGTGGACAATCTCTCTGCCAGTTTTCTTATTTATTATAATGTATTCTTCTGACGTCATTCGGGATACTGTTTTCTCTTTCTGTTATATTCAGGAAGTGATTTTGGCTGAGAACTTTTAAAGATAAAACGTAAACATCCCCTTCATCACTTCCTGAATATAACTTTTAAAGTTAAAACGTAAACATCCCCCTCTTTGCTGTAGTAAGATAATGACCTGTTTGATAGTCATTTTTTCGCATCTCAAGATCTTGCAGGTTGCTCTTTTTACTACATATGAACGGTTATATTATTCTGCACTGAACCATATATGAATATGTGTGATGTATAGATGATATATGTTATATACTATGAATCTTTGAACTACTGTTTAAGAATTCAATCTATATATTTTCGTAATGATAAAAATGTGCTTTCCTTTTATATTGCATGCTTGTAATGATAAGAAAATATTTCCTTTAACTGTTAAATTTGTTAAGGTAAATAGTTTTCACACAATGAAAATATTTTAATGTTTCTTTGGACAATATATTTATATATGGAAGGGAAATCTTTAAAAGGTATGGATTAAGCAAAACAATTTCACAGTAAATAATACCTAATACTTGATCTTCATGATACATAAAAAAATGTTAATTCACATGCCACATAAAACACACCAACATGATAACCATCGCTAGTCTCTCTTGGTTGGTCACAAACATTTCCAAGATGCATGAATGAGAATCTCTTGTCCTCATGAATGTTCATATGAGGTCATGACTCATTTTTCCATGAACGGGTTACTCTCTTCTCAATGAAAAACAGGCTGAAAATGTCATGTGGTATTTATGTTGCTTCCCAGTATCTCTTCCTGAAATTTGAATGGCAGCTGTAGTGGGTAGAGTTTTAAGTTGTCAATTGATGTGAAAATCGACAGGTGAATGGAACACACACACACACACACACACACACACACACACACACACACACACACACACACACACACACACACACACATATATATATATATAAGTACATACATACCATCTGTATAATGTAACATCTCTTGACAACAATACATACAGATTGAATATGAAGCTTCCTTTACTAAATATGGTGCTCAGGTCATCAGGATAAGTTGAGTGCAATGTCCTTTTTGTGACAAAATATATAACATAGCAGTTTATATAAAGATTTATTTATGAAAATGGATTAACTTTATTTTTGACTAAGCTTGTATGTATATAGTTCCCATTAATAATACTCATCACGAACAGTCAGAGTAAGCCAAAATAACCACAATATATTGAAAGCTTGGTATACTAAGGATTCTATTGATGTTATTGTTTTTATTATTATCATTGATGTTACTGAGAATAACAGTATCATTATTATTATTGTAACAATGATAATGATGATGATTCTGTTGTAGTATTACTAGATACCACTATTGTTCTGTTATGATAATCATTTTTATTATTGTTATTATTATTATTAATATTAGCATTATTATTACTCCAAAGGTGTTGATGATAATGATAACAATAGGTAAATGAAATTGTAGTACTACGTGTTGTTAATAGAGGTAGATATAACAGATAAGAGACAAAAAAATCAAGTTTATTGGTTAATCCATTTAAAACGTCTTACATTGCATTAAATGATACTGTGAAAAATGAAGTTAGAGATTCGACCAGCAATTACAGCACATAAAAAAGATAGGTAGTGAACAGCATAATGTGAAAGGAATTTGTAAATCCAAATTTTGATGTTTTTTTTCTTAATAGTGGATGTGGTGCTAGTCTTTTGTGTCACTATATGAAAGATAATGTTATGAAGCCAATAACACACAACACCAAAATTCATCAGTTCTTTGTATATACTGACAATGTGATATTTTATAAGTTTATTCCTTTCTTTTGGGTAGTTTAGACATTCTCCTATCAATGTGATTCTTTCCATAGGATATATTCCTAATGATTCTTTATGCTTTCAAATACTTTATCCGATAAAGACCTATGTTTCCCCACACTTTATAGTTGCAGACTGTACGTTTCCCTTAGCTATTAAATTAAAAAAAAATCCACGTTTCGATCAAAAATAGACTCATCTTCAGGTATTACCATCCAAATAGTACACATGTTAGATAAACATGAAATACATCAAGGGAACATTGATGAGGGTCAGTTTTGGCTTTCATGTAAATCTTTTTCTCAAATTATTATCTCTTGTTGCATCTCCCCTATATAATCTCCATTTTCCTTCTCTTATCTCTTCATACATTGTTTGTGTTTGTATTTCCCAGGTAGGGTTGATCCTTACAGCTTCAGAGACTTAAAGGGAGATCTTTCTGTGTTGTGTGACTTCTTTATACCATGTTAAAGTCAGGATAATGAAAGAGGCTAAACTCCATGTTTGCTTCTTGTGCATATTTATTTATAGTTGTTATATGTCTTGTGTCCTCAATACGTCTTTTTTTATAATCAATAAAGTTGTTGGAACTGACTGAACGTGTTTTGTTTGTCCAATGGTTTGTCTTATTTGGGAATTGGGGTAATGATGGTGTGCATTTTTTTTTAAGAGAGTTAGAGAGAGAAGAGAGAGAGAGGGAGAGAGAGGAGAGGGAGGAGGGAGGGAGAGAGAGAGAGAGAGAGAGAGAGA